TGGCTGGGTGCAGTGGCTCATGCCTGTAATCCCAGCACTTTGGGAGGCCCAGGCAGGCAGATCACCTGAGGTTGGGAGTTCAAGACCAGCCTGACCAATATGGAGAAACCCTGTCTCTGCTGAAAATACAAAATTAGCCGGGCAAGGGGGTGCATGCCTGTAATCCTAGCTACTCCGGAGGCTGAGGGAGGAGAATCACTTGAATCCAGGAGGCAGAGGTTGTGGTTAGCCAAGATCAAGCTATTGCACTCCAGCCTGGGCATCAAAAGTGAGACTCTGTCTCACAAAAAAAAAAAAAAGGAATATTATTTAGCTACAAAAATGAAGGAAGTACTGACACATGCTACAGCATGGATGAAAACATTATGCCAACTGGAAGAAGAAGCCAGTCACAATACACCATATGTGACTCAATTTATGGAAAATGTCCAAAATAGGCAAATCTAGAGGGACAGAGTAGATTAGCGGTGGCCTGGGGCTGGGGAGGACCGAAGACTGACAGGATTTCTTTTGGGGTTATCAAAATGTCCTAAAACTAGCTTATGGTGATGGTCACACAACTCTGCTGTGCAAATATACCAAATACACTTTACACAGGTGAATTTCATGGCATGTAACTTATATCCAAATAAAGCTGCTTATTCTAGGGGAGGCAGGAACTGGGCAGAAGGAGGACGAGGAGGAAAAAAGACTTTCTGTTATGTATCTTTCAATCCTTTCCGGGTTTCAAACCATCTGACTATACTATCTATTCAAAAGCAGATCTAAAATCAAAGGATCAAACAAAATTAAAGACAGACCCCCGATTCTCCCTCCCCACTTTTGGGTAGGGGAGCAGAGAGGGAGAAAGCCACCACCCACTGCATATCACTGTGAAGAGCTGGCTGAGTGGACGGTGGGCAGCAGGCTCTATGTGACCAGGTGACCAGGGCAGCCTTGGAGAGGTTCCAAGACCCACTCATTTCCTGGAAGCCACCAAAGCCACTGGACCCAATGGAGAGACAGTGCCCGACTGACCAGATGGCCTGAAGGCCTGTCCCTGCCCCTTCCTCTACCACCATGTGGACCTACATAAAATCCCAGAACCAACATCAAGTGTCAAAGGAGGGCAGAAAAACCCCAAGACTGACACCAGCCAGGCAGAATAGAAACTTGAGAGAGAAGTTCTGTTGACAGAAAGGGAAGAAACAGAACTCCTCTCTGACACTAGCTCTGTGGGCTGGGCTCACATCCCGGGCTGCTGCAGACTCAGATGTAGGATAGAGACTCACCCCCTGCACCGCGAGACCAGAGAGCAGCCAAGGAGGGTGATTCTCAGAGCCCTCTGCTTGTATCTCCTCACGTGCTTGGTGGGTTAACAGGCGTTGCACCAAGAGAGATCTCTGTGGTCAAATTAGCTTGAAAAATGCTGGGTAGGAGAGATATCCAAGATGGCTGATCACTAGCAGCTCAGGATTGTAGCTCCCAGTGAAAGCGCAAAGAACGAGAGGACGCCATACCTTCACATGAATTCTTGTTGCTCACGCACCAGGAGATTCCCAGCGGAGGAGCCCCACGGGTCGCCAGCGCGACTCTTGTGACCTGCGAGGCGGTTTTGCCGGCGCCTCGGAGCGTCGGTTCTTGGTGCAGAGTCAGAAAAGCACCATCAATCTTAACGCCGCTGATTTAGTCGGTGCAGTGGGTTGCTCAGATTTCGGCGCTGAGAATCAATAAGTCGGATGTCCACTCAGAAAACCAATTACAAAGACGGTAAATACAAAGCCCACAGATGGATAAATTTATAACGAAGGGAAGAAAACAGCCAAAAAAGGCTGAGAATACCCAAGATCAGAACGCCTCTCCCTCAACGGGGGATCACAGTTCCTCATCAGCAACGGAACAAGGCTTGATGGAGAACGAGTGTGTTCCAATTACAGAAGCAGGCTTCAAAATGTGGATAATGAGAAACTTCTGTGAATTAAAAGAACTTGTTTTAAACCAATCCAAAGAAACTAAGAACTTTAAAAAAGATTTGACGAAATGTTAAAAAGAATACACAATTTAGAGAGGAATATAAGTGAATTGATGGAGCTGAAAAACACAATACGAGAACTTCGTGAAGTATGCACAAGTTTTAACAGCCGAATTGATCAAGCAGAAGAAAGGATATCAGAGGTCGAAGACCAACTCAATGAAATAAAACAAGAAGACAAGATTAGAGAAAAAAGGATAAAAAGGAACAAGCAAAGTCTCCAAGAAATATGGGACTATGTGAAAAGACCTAATCTACGCTTGATAGGTGTACCTGAAAATGAGGAAGAGAATGAATCCAAGCTGGAAAATATGCTTCAGGACATTATTCAGGAAAATTTTCCCAACCTAGTAAGGCAGGATAATATTCAACTCCAGGTAATACAGAGAACACCACAGAGATATTCCTCAAGAAGAGCAACTCCAAGGCACATAATCGTCAGATTCACCAGGGTTGAAATGAAGGAGAAAATACTAAGGGCAGCCAAAGAGAAAGGTCAGGTTACCCACAAAGGGAAGCCTATCAGACTTACAGCAGATCTCTCAGCAGAAACCCTACAAGCCAGAAGAGAGTGGGGACCAATATTCAACATCCTTAAAGAAAAGAACTTTCAACCCAGAATTTCACATCCAGCCAAACTAAGCTTCACAAGTGAAGGAAAAATAAAGTTTTTTGTGAATAAGCAAGCACTCAGAGATTTCATCACCACCAGGCCTGCTTTACAAGAGATTCTAAAAAAACCACGAAACATAGAAAGGAACAAACAGTATCAGCCTTTCTTAAAAAAATACCAAAAAGAGCATCAATATAATGAAGAATTTACATCAACTAATGGGCAAAATAGCCAGCTAATATTAACTGGCAGTATTAAACTCACATATATTATTATTGATTCTAAATTTAAATTGACTAAATCCCCCATCCAAAGACAAACAGGCAATTTGAATAAAAAACTAAAACCAATCAGTATGCTGCATCCAGACCCATCTCACATTCAAGGATACACAAAGATTTAAAACAAGAGATGGAGAAGGATTTACCAACCAAACAGAGAGCTAAAATAAATAAATAAAAAGCAGAAGTTAAAATTAAGCAACAAAAATCAAAAGAAGCAAAGAAGGACATTATATAATGATAAAAGGATCAATGCAACAACAAGAAGAGCTAAAGATCCTAAATATATACGCATCCAATACAGGAATACGTAGATCAGTACCACATCATATCAACTTAGAAGTTTAAACGAAATGTTCGTTGGCTCCTTGTTTGTTATTCTCTTCCCTCATTTTCTTTTATATCTCAATTATTAAGGACAATTATAGGCATACCCATATTTAGATTGCATTCTAGCCCGGGCAATAAAGCAATACCCCCATTCTCTCTCCCTCTTTCTCTTTCTCTTTCTTCCTCTTCTTTATTCTTTTTCTTATAAAAAATAAAAAATAAAAAAAAGAAAAAAAAAGAAAAATGCTGGGTTAAAGAAAGTCAAAGCATTTCTTTTGTTGTTAACTGCAGGCCTTCTCAGAGCCTTTCCTCGTGACTCTGCAAGAGGGGGTCTGGCAGGTTCATCAAAGCACTTTTGTGTTTTTGAGGGATATCTAATAGCAAAGACAGCCTTCTCCATTTTACAGCTGTGGAGAAGTGGCTCAACCAACGTCCCAGAGTGGGTCACTGAACAACCGGCCAGGGCTGATTCGGCAGCACCAGGCAGCCTCTGCCAGCGCCAGGTCACAATTCTGGCTGGGTCCCCACTTGTGGTCCCAGAGCACTGGGCAATTTCAGGCTATGTTGAGGCGTCCTCTGGTCACTGCCTTGTCTAACTCTCTCAGAAACTTTACGTATTTGAGCCCCTGACTGAGGATTCTGGGGACGTGGTCACTGGACACAAAAGACGATCAGAGAACAGATTCGCTCCCTGCCTGGGGTGTGGGACAGAGCAGCAGGGAGAGGCTGTGACTCCAGGCTTTGCCCCGGGTCCACCCAGCCTTGGGTTCTGTCTGCATGGTGAGGACCTAGGGCCCTTTCATAAAACCTTAGAAACCCATCCTGATCAATTGCTACAGGGGCTGGGTGTGGTGGCTCACACCTGTAATCCCAGCACTTCGGGAGGCCGAGGTGGGTAGATCACCTGAGGTCAGGAGTTTGAGACCAGCCTGGCCAACATGATGAAACCCCATGTCTACTAAAAATACAAAAAATTAGCCAAGCATGGAGGGCGCCTGTAATTCCAGCTACTTGGGAGGCTGAGGCAGGAGAATGGCTTGAACCCTGGAGGTGGAGGTTGCAGCAAGCCAAGATCGCACCACTGGCAATAGAGGGAGACTCTGTCTCAAAAACAAAAAACAAACAAACAAAAAACTATAGGATAAATAGTCTAGTTTCTTCAACAGATAAATAACCGAGAAAAAAAGTGGATGGAAACTGTTACAGATTAAAACGTAGCCAAAAGTCTAACGTGGGCCAGGCTGGGATCCTGATTTGAACAAATCAACAGACAGACATTGATGAGGCAGCCAGGACAGTTTGAACCCTGGCGGGCTGTGCGATGATGTTCAGCAGGGGTGATGGTATAATGCTTAGTTTTTGGTTTTGTTGTTAGAGTTTGTGTTCTTAAGGAATAAATCCTGCTGTCTCTACAACTCGAACAATGTGATACTTGAAATTAGCATTAAAACGGTCCAGAGGGGATGCAAGGGGAAAATGGGGGCTCTGGGGGGGCATGGCGACAAAGGGAATTTCTGCCCGTGTGGCCAACCCTGCAGCCCAGGTGGCTTCTCTCCCGGAAGGCAAGCCCCACACCCCAGAGGCATTCAGACTCGGGACTCTCCATGTTCAGGTGCTTGGGAGGCCGGGACTGCCCCAGTGTGTGGATCTGCTGGGGGCCCTGTACCCACTGGACACTGCCAACCTCCACCAGCACTCAAGCCCAACCCTCCTCACACCTCCCACCTGCCCTCCTGCCCTCCTGCCCTCCTGCCAGGCTACTCACACCGCTCCTCCAGGTCCGCCCGGCTCCGGCCCCCTCGCCTGCTCCGGCCCAGGCCACTCATTACTCAGGATGCTTATTATTAGTCTTAGATTTGATTAGTGCCTGGGCTGCACTTCCTGGGTTTTCCCCTCAGCCTGCTGGATGTAAATCAGCCACACCCACTCCCGCCCCTGTGCCCGTGCACTGGGTCTCAGGAGCCCAGGTGGGTGGCGGTGGCTCAGGGTCCTGGCATCCCAGTGGGTGCATGCAGAGCAGTGGAAAGCCTGCCTGGCTTTGGGATGAGGTATTGACTACAGAATGGCCCAGGCTCTTCTAGATCTGACCCTGGCCACCCCTTGGGCCTGATCTCCTGCCCCGCTGGCACACACCCTGGGCCAGGCCAGCTCTCCAGCCTCCCAGCATCACTGAGGAGGCCCTTCCCTTTTCCTGGACATACTGATTCTATTCATTGCCTGGTCAGCTCCTCCTGATCCTCTTCAAGGCTCTGTCGCGCTGTCACTTCCTACGGAGAGCTGTCCCTGATCCAGCCCGTCAGGTGGTGTTCATTTTCTGTGTCTCCTTGGCCCTGTCCAACACCTAGCAGAGCGCTGGAGAGGCTGAACCCCAGAGCCAGACAGCCTGGGTTTGAATCTTGACTCTGTCGCAATCTTACTGCTCTGTGCCTCCATATTCTCTGTGTAAAAGGGGATGAGAAACACTGCCCGTCTCACAGGTGGTTATGAGCATGAAGTGAGGGAGCACAGTTACGTTCTTGGAGCAGGTTCTTGGCACATAGTAAGTCCTCAACAAAGGCTGTGGACGATGGACACTATGGCCTGCATTACACCACATGGCAACTTTTCTCCTGTGTCTTCTCGATCCTCTGAAAACTCCCAGGGGATGGGAAGCCCAGTAGCCATCAAAGGCGGAGTGAGAGGAATGTAAAAGCCAAATAAGGCCCATGGGCCCTTAGGAAGAAACTGAAGGACAAGGAGGAGGAGGACGCGGGCAGGTGGAGAGGAAGGAAGGAGGCCCCGGGAAGCAGCTGGAGCAGGGGGGTGTTGCACAGAGCAGGAGACGGGACGCAGACAGTCGGCAAACACAGAAAATGCCCAGTCTCCCAATATTCAGAAAAACAAAACTGAACAGTGAAAAACTAACTTTCACCCAACAGGTTGGAAAATTTTAAAGTTGATAACATCAAGGGCAGGGGGTGATCTACGGAAACATGAACCAACACCCCTCTGGAGGAGGGAGCTGGCAGCAGCCTTCTGGAGGACAAGCGGCCAGAGTGAGTTAAATGTAGAAGACAGACCTAACCCACCCCTCAGAAATAATTCTTCTCAGTGAGCCTCCTAATGACAGCGAGAAACTGGAAACAATGTAAAAGTCCATGCAGCAGAGGATGCCTGAATAAGCAGGGTGCACAGGCCAGAGCCAGGAATCTATGCCACAGTTAAAACAATGAGACAGTTAAGGAAGGTCTCAGGACAGACACTGAGTGAATACAAGTAGTTAACAGCAGGAAACATACAGTGTGATGATGCCTTTTAGTAAAACAAAACCAAAACCAAACAACGCATGCGCGCTCACACAGAGTACAGTGCTGAGTAGTCCGTGATCACGCGCGCGCACACACACACAAACACACACACACACAGAATACAGTGCTGAGTGGTCTGTGATCATGCGCACACACACACACAGAGTACAGTGCTGAGTGGTCTGTGATCACGCACGCACACACACAGAGAGTACAGTGCTGAGTGGTCCGTGATCATGCGTGCGCGCACACACACACACACACACACACACACACACAGAGTACAGTGCTGAGTGGTCCATGATTGCACGTGCACACACACACACACAGACACACAGTACAGTGCTGAGTGGTCTGTGATCACACGCACACACAGAGTATAGTGCTGAGTGGTCCGTGATCACACACACACACACACACACACACAGAGTACAGTGCTGAGTGGTCCGTGATCACATGCGCGCACACACACACACACAGAGTACAGTGCTGAGTGGTCTGTGATCCCACGCACACACAGAGTACAGTGCTGAGTGGTCCGTGATCACACACACACACACACACACACATACACACACACAGAGTACAGTGCTGACTGGTCCGTGATCACACGCACACACACAGTACAGTGCTGACTGGTCCGTGATCACACACACACACACACACACACACACAGAGTACAGTGCTGAGTGGCCCGTGATCACATGCGCGCACACACACACACACACACGGTACAGTGCTGAGTGGTCTGTGATCACGTGCACACACACACAGAGTACAGTGCTGACTGGTCCGTGATCACACACACACACACACACACACACACAGAGTACAGTGCTGAGTGGTCTGTGATCACATGCGCACACACACACACACACACACACACAGAGTACAGTGCTGAGTGGTCTGTGATCACGCGCGCACACACACAGAGTACAGTGCTGACTGGTCCGTGATCACATGCACACACAGAGTACAGTGCTGAGTGGTCCGTGATCACACACACACACACACACACACACACACACAGTACAGCGCTGAGTGGTCTGTGATCACGCACACACACAGAGTACAGTGCTCGGTGGTCTATGATCACGCACACATGACTGCGAAGCGTAAGAAGCCTGCAAGGACTTGCATGACGAAGGTGGCTCTCACCCAGGGGGCAAGAGGGAACCAGGACTGGGTGTGGCTGTCAAAAGGAGCCTTGAGCCCTATTTGTAACTTTTATATTTAATTACTTGTGTCAACGAACAGTAACAAAACTACAGCTGGGCTCTGGCAGGTGGCAAGAGAGAGGTAAGAAAGAGATCCCATTGCCAGGAACTTTCTGCCTGTTGAAATGAGCAAGCCCAAAGTCACTACAGGGTGCCCTCACTGTGTCCCAACTCACCTCCTGTTTGCACACCCCCAGGGTCAGGGCTCTCACCACCTCACGGAGCAACTGGCTCCTCTAGGGGTAGCTCTGATGGTTAGAAAGCTCAGCTCTAGCCTGGGTAACAGAATGAAACTCCATCTCAAAAATAAATAAATAAAATAAAATAAGCAAAGAGCAACATAGTAACCTTGACTCTGTAATTTTTTCTTTTTGAGTCTCACTCTGTTGCCCAGGCTGGAGTGTGGTGGCATGATCTCAGCTCACTGCAACCTCCACCTCCCAGGTTCAAGCGATTCTCATGCTTCAGCCTCCTGAGTAGCTAGGAGTATAGGTGTGAGCCACTATGCCCAGCTAATTTTTGTGTTTTTAGTATAGATGGGTTTCACCATGTTGGCCAGGCTGGTCTTGAACTCCTCACCTCAGGTGATCCACCTGTCTCAGCCTCCCGAAGTGCTGGGATTACAGGGGTTAGCCACTGCACCTGGCCTACATTTTTTTTTTTTAATTAGCTGGGTCCACACTTGTAGTCCACCTGTAGTCCTAGCAACTTGGGAGGCTGGAAGATTGCAATCCTGGCTGGGGCTCAGGAGTTCAAGGCTACAGTGAGCTATGATTGCACCACTGCACTCCAGCCTGGGCTACAGAATGAGACTCTGTTGCAAAAAAGGAGGAGGCAGAGGAGGAAGAAGGTGAAGAGAAGGAGGAGGAGGAAGGAGAAGAAAAGACAGCAAGTTCAGCTGTGTCCAGTGAGCAGACTGCTTCTATGGGACTGACTGCTGCTCTCTGCAGCCACACACATATTGTCCTGGTCCATTTGCAGCACTTTGGAGTTTGAATGCCAATACCTGTTATGCATGAAATGAAGAATAAACGAAATCCAGCCTGACGTGGGGAGTGGCTGAGAATTAAACGGCAGGGTTCCCTAGTGTCTCATTGCCAACCAATCACAGCTTGTTAATGCTTTTGCTCAAATGCAGTTTATAGAGAATGGATTTAATTTGCTTTCTTTAATTAGATGGGGTAATTTACAGACAGTGAAATGCACCCTTCTAAAATGGGAAGTTCATTGAGTGTTCACATACAAGCACACCCAGGCAACCACAACCCAGATCACGACTTAGAGCATCACCGCCCCTTCCAGCCAGCACAGCCCACCCCACCTCCGAGAGAGCCACGATGCTGACCCCCAGCACCAGATTCATTTTGCTTGTTCCCCAAACTTTGTGTAAATGGAAACATACACATGGGATCATTTCATGAAACACAAAAATAGATTCCGCCTCTGCACTGGCTCCCTCGGAACAGGTGCTGGAGGTTTCTAAACCTCATTCTGAGACCAGCGGTTTTTTTTGAACTGTCTCCCAAGAGGATGCAGGATTCTAATTTTAAGCTCCACAGCCAAGGTGACAGAAGAGATTTACAACCAGAGTAGAGACACCTCATACACCTCAAGGCTTTGGACCTGGTTTACTTATATATGTATAATTAATGAGTTAAAATGCACACATAGTAGAGAAAAATTCAAGCAGTGTAAAAGAATATGGCAAAAGGAAATCTCTCTCCCATCTAGACCCATCATGTCCCTACTCAAAGGCAGCAACCCGCAGCGGGCCTTTTTCACACAGCCTCCCAGCAAAACACAGGCATTTCCCAGCATGCGTGTGTTGCTAGAGGATGTATTTCACCTCCCCCTATCCCCCCATACCTTTTTTTTTTTTTTTTTTTTTTTTACAAAACTGCTGGCTTATACAGATCAAGCTCGCTGCTACCTTTCCTGTTTAGTATAGCCTGCCAGACAGTTCTTATCTTTTTAAACGAACTACGGTCACAACAGGGAAAACTTAGGGCACCGTTCTAAACACAACATCTGCTCATTTAATTCACATTTTACTGTCTTTGTGTGGCCTTGAAGGGCATGAGTTCCTTAAGTGAAATTGCTGGATGAAACGCAACACTGTCCTGTTGAGCAATATTTCCCAGGGAGATGGTTCCACTCTGCCCTAGCCCGTGGCATTTTGGCTCTAAAGACCCACATCCCTGCAGGTGCTGTGGTCTCTTTGAGCTCCCTCATGTCTGCCGCTCACTCCTGGCCCTGTCAAACCTCCTCTGAGACAGTTCTGGGTGTAAGACGAAAGGAAGAGTCTCCAAAAGGGGACATTTCTTAGACATGCAG